ATTAATATGTATGCATATTTTTGAAAATTACATCTTATCTCGCCGTCTGAGAACCCTGGCACGTCGTGTTAATGCAATATTAAAAACAAAGTAGTCGCTATTCCATTTACACACAGTAGAGAATGTAGACAAACGGAGGTAAGTACAGTCGGAGAGTTAATGTGTTAACAAACTGTAGTAAATGCGTTTAATTATCTCTCTCTCTCTCTCTCTCTCTCTCTCTCTCTCTCTCTCTCTCTGAGTCGACGCCGCGACGAAACATTATCCCCTGCATTAATCCTCATCCTCAAATAAAATTCCGCGTGCATATTTCGAGCTAAATTAAATATTCAAAAAATGGTACACCGAGGGAGCGGCGGCGACTCCTCTCTTTTTAATCGCGGGGACAGAGTGAGAACTCGTATTATCTACTTAAACAGGCGGTCGTCGGCCCGCGCTTTAACATTTTAATACAACACTGCGAACGTATTTAGCGTAATGCCCGCTCGGTTAAATATTAGACGTTTAAACAACGCCGGTCACTTTCCAACCTCATTTTTTCCCCCCTTCCCAACCCCGTCTTACCCTTTTTTTTTTTTTCGGGGCACAAAAAGAATCGGGGCCGAGCACTCTAGCGAAATGAGCTATAAATCCGCGACCACCGGGCTCGCCATTTTTATAATGCAAAATCAATTATGCGACGTCGACGTTCATGCGAAATACGTCCCGGCCGTGAAACCCCCGAACCGGAGTAAAAAAAAAAAAGAACGAAACGATAATTTTGTTTCCTTTTATTGACACGAAGACGTTCGCAATTTTAATGAAACCGTCGACGTTCCGTCGTTCGTCAGAGCCGATTGAAAGTTGCCAGCGTCCCTCGGAATAAAGAGGAAGTCGCTCGTGAAGCTACTAAGTGGACGCAAATTGTTGGCAACACGATCGTGCGGATCGCGAGTTTCGTTGGAGACAGAAGATTATGCGACGCAGGGGTGGCTCGGCTGGGATCGGGCGCGCGGCCAACGGGTAACGAAAAAGTTGCCGCACGTCTCGCCGCGTCGCCGAAACGCGGTCAACGTTTGCGACGCGCATACGAATGCGTCGGGTCGGGTGCTTTGGCCTCAGAACTCGAGCTCGTAGATGGAATGCCGGCAGCTCGGGTAGAGCTGTCCGCAGTTCGACCTGCTACGGTACGCGTCCTCGTAAGCTTGATCCTCGGATCGCTCGAAACGGCCCTCCTCAGGCAACCTGTAAAGGGAAATAAGATTTGAAGCTGCTACAATGGTATCGACGTGCCGCAGAGTCGTATCATAGTCTTTGAAAGAGAACAGACAGCATCCCCGATCAATTCCTTCGACGATCGCACCGATTGAAAACAGCATTTCCTTCGACGTTCCGATGCATAAAATACTAGTCTTCTGATAACAGTTACGTTCCAGTTCAAGTTGTGAACATTATACATAAAAATGATAACAAAGCATTGAAATTTTAATAGTTACTAAATATTACAT